CGAAGAATTCCGGCCGCAAATAACGATTCCTCGTGGGTGGGCTGGGAACACGTGTCTCCAGCCCCACCCATGCTTATATTGGTTTCCCTGAATTTTTTTTATTCCTTTAATTAGTGCGTCATTCCTATGAATTCCTATGATACGTTTCGGAATTAATACGAAAGATTTTAGGTGGCAAATAAACGATTCACGTGGGTGGGGCTGGGAACACGTGTCTCCAGCCCCACCCATGGCTAATAATTGGTTTCCCTGAATTTTTTTATTCCTATAATTAGTACGTCAATCCTATGAATTCCTATGATAGGTTTCGGAAATCCACGAAAGATTCCGGCTGCAAATAAACGATTCCCGTGGGTGGGGCTGGGAACACGTGTCTCCATTCCCTCCCATGGCTAATAATTGGTTTTCCTGAATTTTTTTTTATTCCTATAATTAGTACGTCAATCCTATGAGTTCCTATGATAGAGTTTTGGAATTCCTATGAAAGAATTCTGGCTGCAAATAAACGATTCCCGTGGGTGGGGCTTGGAACACGTGTCTCCAGCCCCACCCATGGCTAATAATTGGTTTCCCTGAATTTTTTTTATTCCTATAATTAGTACGTCTATCCTATGAATTCCTATGATAGGTTTCGGAATTCCTACGAAAGAATTACGGCCGCAAAATAACGATTCTCGTGGGTAGGGCTGGGAACACGTGTCTCCAGCCCCACCCATGGCTTATAATTGGTTTTCCTGAATTTTTTTATTCCTATAATTAGTACGTCAATCCTATGAATTCCTATGATAGGTTTCGGAATTCCTACGAAAGAATTCCGGCCGCAAATTAACGATTCCCGTGGGTGGGGCTGGGAACACGTGTCTCCAGCCCCACCCATGGCTAATAATTGTTTTCCCTGAATTTTTTTTATTCCTATAATTAGTACGTCAATCCTATGAATTCCTATGATAGGTTTCGGAATTCCTACGAAAGAATTCCGGCCGCAAATAAACGATTCCCGTGGTGGGGCTTGGAAACACGTGTCTCCAGCCCCACCCATGGCTAATAATTGGTTTTCCTGAATTTTTTTTATTCCTATAATTAGTACGTCAATCCTATGAATTCCTATAATAGGTTTCGGAATTCCTAGGAAAGAATTCCGGCCGCAAATAAACGATTCCCGTGGGTGGGGCTGGGAACACGTGTCTCCAGCCCCCCCATGGCTAATAATTGGTTTCCCTGAATTTTTTTATTCCTATAATTAGTACGTCATTCCTATGAATTCCTATGATAGGTTTCGGAATTCCGACGAAAGAATTCCGGCCGCAAATAAACGATTACCCGTGGGTGGGGCTGGGAACACGTTCTCCAGCCCCACCCATGGCTAATTATTGGTTTCCTGAATTTTTTTATTCCTATAATTAGTACGTCATTCCTATGAATTCCTATGATAGGTTTTTCGGAATTCCTACGAAAGAAATTCGCGGCCGCAAATAAACGATTCCCGTCTTTGGTAGCTTGGAACACGTGTCTCAGCCCCACCCATGGCTAATAATTGGATTTCCCTGAATTTTTTTATTCCTATAATAAGTGCGTCAATCCTATGAGTTCCTATGATAGGTTTCGGAATTCCTACGAAAGAATTCCGGCCGCAAATAAACGATTCCCGTGGGCGGGGCTGGGAACACGTGTCTCCAGCCCCACCCATGGCTAATTATTGGTTTCCCTGAATTCTTTTTATTCCTATAATAAGTGCGTCAATCCTATGAGTTCCTATGATAGTTTTCGGAATTCCTACGAAAGAATTCCGGCCGCAAATAAACGATTCTCGTGGGTTAGGCTGGGAACACGTGTCTCCAGCCCCACCCATGGCTAATAATTGGATTCCCTGATTTTTTTTATTCCTATAATTAGTGCGTCATTCCTATGAGTTCCTATGATAGGTTTTGGAATTCCTACGAAAGTATTCCGGCCGCAAATAAACGATTCTCGTGGGTGGGGCTTTGAACACGTGTCTCCAGCCCCACCCATGGCTAATAATTGGATTCCCTGAATTTTTTTTATTCCTATAATTAGCACGTCAATCCTATGAATTAATATGATAGGTTTTGGAATTCCTACGAAAGAATTCCGGCCGCAAATAACGATTCTCGTGGGTGGGGCTGGGAACACGTGTCTCCAGCCCCACCCATGGCTTATAATTGGTTTTCCTGAATTTTTTTATTCCTTTAATTAGTACGTCATTCCTATGAATTCCTATGATACGTTTCGGAATTAATACGAAAGATTTTAGGTGGCAAATAAACGATTCACGTGGGTGGGGCTGGAACACGTGTCTCCAGCCCCACCCATGGCTAATAATTGGTTTCCCTGAATTTTTTTTATTCCTATAATTAGTACGTCAATCCTATGAATTCCTATGATAGGTTTCGGAAATCCTACGAAAGATTCCGGCCGCAAATAAACGATTCCCGTGGGTGGGGCTGGGAACACGTGTCTCCATTCCCTCCCATGGCTAATAATTGGTTTTCCTGAATTTTTTTATTCCTATAATTAGTACGTCAATCCTATGAATTCCTATAATAGGTTTCGGAATTCCTACGAAAGAATTCCGGCCGCAAATAAACGATTCCCGTGGGTGGGGCTGGGAACACGTGTCTCCAGCCCCACCCATGGCTAATAATTGGATTCCCGGAATTTTTTTTATTCCTATAGTTAGTACGTCATTCTTATGAATTCCTATGATAGGTTTCGGAATTCCTACGAAAGAATTCCGGCCGCATATAAACGATTACCCGTGGGTGGGGCTGGGAACACGTGTCTCCAGCCCCACCCATGGCTAATTATCGGTTTCCCTGAATTCTTTTTATTCCTATAATTAGTGCGTCAATCCTATGAGTTCCTATGATAGGTTTCGGAATTTCTACGAAAGAATTCCGGCCGCAAATAAACGATTCTCGTGGGTTAGGCTGGGAACACGTGTCTCCAGCCCCACCCATGGCTAATAATTGGGTTCCCTGAATTTTTTTTATTCCTATAATTAGTGCGTCAATCCTATGAGTTCCTATGATAGGTTTTGAAATTCCTACGAAAGAATTCCGGCCGCAAATAAACGATTCCCGTGGGTGGGGCTTGGAACACGTGTCTCCAGCCCCACCCATGGCTAATAATTGGTTTTCCTGAATTTTTTTATTCCTATAATTAGTTCGTCAATCCTATGAATTCCTATGATAGATTTCGGAATTAATATGAAAGAATTCTGGCTGCAAATAAACGATTCCCGTCTGAGGGGCTTGGAACACGTGTCTCCAGCCCCACCCATGGCTAATAATTGGATTCCCTGAATTTTTTTTATTCCTATAATTAGCACGTCAATCCTATGAATTAATATGATAGGTTTTGGAATTCCTACGAAAGAATTCCGGCCGCAAATAACGATTCTCGTGGGTGGGGCTGGGAACACGTGTCTCCAGCCCCACCCATGGCTTATAATTGGTTTTCCTGAATTTTTTTATTCCTTTAATTAGTACGTCATTCCTATGAATTCCTATGATACGTTTCGGAATTAATACGAAAGATTTTAGGTAGCAAATAAACGATTCCCGTGGGTGGGGCTGGGAACACGTGTCTCCAGCCCCACCCATGGCTAATAATTGGTTTTCCTGAATTTTTTTTATTCCCATAATTAGTACGTCAATTCTATGAATTTCTATGATAGGTTTCGGAATTAATACAAAAGAATTCTGGCCGCAAATAAACGATTCCCGTGGGAGGGGCTGGGAACACGTGTCTCCAGCCACACCCATGGCTAATAATTGGATTCCCTGATTTTTTTTTATTCCTATAATTAGTGCGTCATTCCTATGAGTTCCTATGATAGGTTTCAGAATTCCTACGAAAGAATTCCGGCCGCAAATAAACGATTCTCGTGGGTTAAGCTGGGAACACGTGTCTCCAGCTCCACCCATGGCTAATAATTGGATTCCCTGAATTTTTTTTATTCCTATAATTAGTGCGTCAATCCTATGAGTTCTTATGATATATTTTGAAATTCCTACGAAAGAATTCCGGCCAGAAATAAACGATTCCCGTGGGTGCGGCAAGGAACACGTGTCTCCAGCCCCACCTATGGCTTATTATTGGTTTCCCTGAATTTTTTTTATTCCTATAATTAGTGCGTCATTCCTATGAGTTCCTATAATAGGTTTCGGAATTCCTACGAAAGAATTCCGGCCGCAAATAAACGATTCCCGTGGGTGGGGCTGGGAACACGTGTCTCCAGCCCACCCATGGCTAATAATTGGATTCCCTGAATTTTTTTTATTCCTTTAATTAGTGCGTCAATCCTATGAGTTCCTATGATAGGTTTTGAAATTCCTACGAAAGAATTCCGGCCGCAAATAACGATTCCCGTGGGTGGGCTTGGAACACGTGTCTCCAGCCCCACCCATGGCTAATAATTGGTTTTCCTGAATTTTTTTTATTCCTATAATTAGTTCGTCAATCCTATGAATTCCTATGATAGATTTCGGAATTAATATGAAAGAATTCTGGCTGCAAATAAACGATTCCCGTCTGAGGGGCTTGGAACACGTGTCTCCAGCCCCACCCATGGCTAATAATTGGATTCCCTGAATTTTTTTTATTCCTATAATTAGCACGTCAATCCTATGAATTAATATGATAGGTTTTGGAATTCCTACGAAAGAATTCCGGCCGCAAATAACGATTCTCGTGGTGGGGCTGGGAACACGTGTCTCCAGCCCCACCCATGGCTTATAATTGGTTTTCCTGAATTTTTTTTATTCCTTTAATTAGTACGTCATTCCTATGAATTCCTATGATACGTTTCGGAATTAATACGAAAGATTTTAGGTGGCAAATAAACGATTCACGTGGGTGGGGCTGGGAACACGTGTCTCCAGCCCCACCCATGGCTAATAATTGGTTTCCCTGAATTTTTTTTATTCCTATAATTAGTACGTCAATCCTATGAATTCCTATGATAGGTTTCGGAAATCCTACGAAAGATTCCGGCCGCAAATAAACGATTCCCGTGGGTGGGGCTGGGAACACGTGTCTCCAGCCCCTCCCATGGCTAATAATTGGTTTTCCTGAATTTTTTTTATTCCTATAATTAGTACGTCAATCCTATGAGTTCCTATGATAGGTTTTGAAATTCCTACGAAAGAATTCCGGCCGCAAATAAACGATTCCCGTCTGAGGGGCTTGGAACACGTGTCTCCAGCCACACCCATGGCTAATAATTGGATTCCCTGAATTTTTTTTATTCCTTTAATTAGTGCGTCATTCCTATGAGTTCCTATGATAGGTTTCGGAATTCCTACGAAAGAATTCCGGCCGCAAATAAACGATTCTCGTGGGTTAAGCTGGGAACACGTGTCTCCAGCTCCACCCATGGCTAATAATTGGATTCCCTGAATTTTTTTTATTCCTATAATTAGTGCGTCAATCCTATGAGTTCCTATGATATATTTTGAAATTCCTACGAAAGAATTCCGGCCAGAAATAAACGATTCCCGTGGGTGCGGCAAGGAACACGTGTCTCCAGCCCCACCCATGGCTAATTATCGGTTTCCCTGAATTCTTTTTATTCCTATAATAAGTGCGTCAATCCTATGAGTTCCTATGATAGGTTTCGGAATTCCTACGAAAGAATTCCGGCCGCAAATAAACGATTCTCGTGGGTTAGGCTGGGAACACGTGTCTCCAGCCCCACCCATGGCTAATAATTGGGTTCCCTGAATTTTTTTTATTCCTATAATTAGTGCGTCAATCCTATGAGTTCCTATGATAGGTTTTGAAATTCCTACGAAAGAATTCCGGCCGCAAATAAACGATTCCCGTGGGTGGGGCTTGGAACACGTGTCTCCAGCCCCACCCATGGCTAATAATTGGTTTTCCTGAATTTTTTTTATTCCTATAATTAGTTCGTCAATCCTATGAATTCCTATGATAGATTTCGGAATTAATATGAAAGAATTCTGGCTGCAAATAAACGATTCCCGTCTGAGGGGCTTGGAACACGTGTCTCCAGCCCCACCCATGGCTAATAATTGGATTCCCTGAATTTTTTTTATTCCTATAATTAGCACGTCAATCCTATGAATTAATATGATAGGTTTTGGAATTCCTACGAAAGAATTCCGGCCGCAAATAACGATTCTCGTGGGTGGGGCTGGGAACACGTGTCTCCAGCCCCACCCATGGCTTATAATTGGTTTTCCTGAATTTTTTTTATTCCTTTAATTAGTACGTCATTCCTATGAATTCCTATGATACGTTTCGGAATTAATACGAAAGATTTTAGGTAGCAAATAAACGATTCCCGTGGGTGGGGCTGGGAACACGTGTCTCCAGCCCCACCCATGGCTAATAATTGGTTTTCCTGAATTTTTTTTATTCCCATAATTAGTACGTCAATCCTATGAATTTCTATGATAGGCTTCGGAATTCCTACGAAAGAATTCCGGCCGCAAATAAACGATTCCCGTCTGAGGGGCTTGGAACACGTGTCTCCAGCCCCACCCATGGCTAATAATTGGATTCCCTGATTTTTTTTTATTCCTATAATTAGTGCGTCATTCCTATGAGTTCCTATGATAGGTTTCGGAATTAATACGAAAGAATTCCGGCCGCAAATAAACGATTACCCGTGGGTGGGGCTGGGAACACGTGTCTCCAGCCCCACCCATGGCTAATAATTGGTTTCCCTGAATTCTTTTTATCCCTATAATTAGTGCGTCAATCCTATGAGTTCCTATGATAGGTTTCGGAATTCCTACGAAAGAATTCCGGCCGCAAATAAACGATTCTCGTGGGTTAAGCTGGGAACACGTGTCTCCAGCTCCACCCATGGCTAATAATTGGATTTCCTGAATTTTTTTTATTCCAATAATTAGTACGTCAATCCTATGAGTTCTTATAATAGGTTTTGGAATTCCTACGAAAGAATTCCGGCCGCAAATAAACGATTCTCGTGGGTGGGGCTGGGAACACGTGTCTCCAGCCCCACCTATGGCTAATAATTGGTTTTCCTGAATTTTTTTATTCCCATAATTAGTACGTCAATCCTATGAATTCCTATGATAGGCTTCGGAATTCCTACGAAAGAATTCCGGCCGCAAATAAACGATTCCGTGGGTGGGGCTGGGAACACGTGTCTCCAGCCCCTCCCATGGCTAATAATTGGTTTTCCTGAATTTTTTTTATTCCTATGATTAGTACGTCAATCCTATGAGTTCCTATGATAGGTTTTGAAATTCCTACGAAAGAATTCCGGCCGCAAATAAACGATTCCCGTCTGAGGGGCTTGGAACACGTGTCTCCAGCCCCACCCATGGCTAATAATTGGTTTTCCTGAATTTTTTGTATTCCTTTAATTAGTACGTCGTTCCTATGAATTCCTATGATACGTTTCGGAATTAATACGAAAGAATTGAGGCCGCATATACACGATTCTCGTGGGTTAAGCTGGGAACACGTGTCTCCAGCCCCACTTATGGCTAATAATTGGTTTCCCTGAATTTTTTTTATTCCTATAATTAGTACGTCATTCCTATGAATTCCTATGATACGTTTTGGAATTAATCCGAAAGATTTGAGGCGGCAAATAAACGATTCCCGTGGGTGGTACTTGGAACACGTGTCTCCAGCCCCACCCATGGCTAATAATTGGTTTTCCTGAATTTTTTTTATTCCCATAATTAGTACGTCAATCCTATGAATTAATATGATAGGTTTTGGAATTCCTACGAAAGAATTCCGGCCGCAAATAAACGATTCTCGTGGGTGGGGCTGGGAACACGTGTCTCCAGCCCCACCCATGGCTTATAATTGGTTTTCCTGAATTTTTGTTATTCCTTTAATTAGTACGTCATTCCTATGAATTCCTATGATACATTTCGGAATTAATACGAAAGATTTTAGGCGGCAAATAAACGATTCCCGTGGGTGGGGCTGGGAACACGTGTCTCCAGCCCCACCCATGGCTAATAATTGGTTTCCCTGAATTTTTTTTTTCCTATAATTAGTACGTCAATCCTATGAATTCCTATGATAGGTTTCGGAAATCCTACGAAAGATTCCGGCCGCAAATAAACGATTCCCGTGGGTGGGGCTGGGAACACGTGTCTCCATTCCCTCCCATGGCTAATAATTGGTTTTCCTGAATTTTTTTTATTCCTATAATTAGTACGTCAATCCTATGAATTCCTATGATAGATTTCGGAATTAATATGAAAGAATTCTGGCTGCAAATAAACGATTCCCGTGGGTGGGGCTGGGAACACGTGTCTCCAGCCCCACCCATGGCTAATAATTGGTTTCCCTGAATTTTTTTTTATTCCTATAATTAGTGCGTCATTCCTATGAGTTCCTATAATAGGTTTCGGAATTCCTACGAAAGAATTCCGGCCGCAAATAAACAATTCCCGTGGGTGGGGCTGGGAACACGTGTCTCCAGCCCCACCCATGGCTAATAATTGGATTCCCTGAATTTTTTTTATTCCTATAATTAGTACGTCATTCCTATGAATTCTTATGATAGGTTTTGGAATTCCTACGAAAGAATTCCGGCCGCAAATAAACGATTCTCGTGGGTGGGGCTGGGAACACGTGTCTCCAGCCCCACCTATGGCTTATAATTGGTTTTCCTGAATTTTTTTTATTCCCATAATTAGTACGTCAATCCTATGAATTCCTATGATAGGCTTCGGAATTCCTACGATAGAATTCCGGCCGCAAATAAACGATTCCCGTGGGTGGGGCTGGGAACACGTGTCTCCAGCCCCTCCCATTTCTAATAATTGGTTTTCCTGAATTTTTTTTATTCCCATAATTAGTACGTCAATCCTATGAATTCCTATGATAAGCTTCGGAATTCCTACGAAAGAATTCCGGCCGCAAATAAACGATTCCCGTGGGTGGGGCTGGGAACACGTGTCTCCAGCCCCTCCCATGGCTAATAATTGGTTTTCCTGAATTTTTTTTATTCCTATGATTAGTACGTCAATCCTATGAGTTCCTATGATAGGTTTTGAAATTCCTACGAAAGAATTCCGGCCGCAAATAAACGATTCCCGTCTGAGGGGCTTGGAACACGTGTCTCCAGCCCCACTAATGGCTAATAATTGGATTCCCTGATTTTTTTTTATTCCTATAATTAGTGCGTCATTCCTATGAGTTCCTATGATAGGATTCGGAATTCCTAAGAAAGAATTCCGGCCGCAAATAAACGATTCTCGTGGGTTAAGCTGGGAACACGTGTCTCCAGCTCCACCCATGGCTAATAATTGGATTCCCTGAATTTTTTTTATTCCTATAATTAGTGCGTCAATCCTATGAGTTCCTATGATAGGTTTTGAAATTCCTACGAAAGAATTCCGGCCGCAAATAAACGATTCCCGTGGGTGGGGCTGGGAACACTTGTCTCCAGCCCATCCCATAAATAATAATTGGTTTTCCTGAATTTTTTGTATTCCTTTAATTAGTACGTCGTTCCTATGAATTCCTATGATACGTTTCGGAATTAATACGAAAGAATTGAGGCCGCATATACACGATTCTCGTGGGTTAAGCTGGGAACACGTGTCTCCAGCCCCACTTATGGCTAATAATTGGTTTCCCTGAATTTTTTTTATTCCTATAATTAGTACGTCATTCCTATGAATTCCTATGATACGTTTTGGAATTAATCCGAAAGATTTGAGGCGGCAAATAAACGATTCCCGTGGGTGGTACTTGGAACACGTGTCTCCAGCCCCACCCATGGCTAATAATTGGTTTTCCTGAATTTTTTTTATTCCCATAATTAGTACGTCAATCCTATGAATTAATATGATAGGTTTTGGAATTCCTACGAAAGAATTCCGGCCGCAAATAAACGATTCTCGTGGGTGGGGCTTGGAACACGTGTCTCCAGCCCCACCCATGGCTAATAATTGGATTCCCTGAATTTTTTTTATTCCTATATTAGTGCGTCATTCCTATGATTTCCTGTGATAGGTTTGGAATTCCTACGAAAGTATTCCGGACCGCAAATAAACGATGTCTCGTGGGTGGGCTTTGAACACGTGTCTCCAGCCCCACCTATGGCTAATAATTGGTTTTCCTGAATTTTTTTATTCCCATAATTAGTACGTCAATCCTATGAATTCCTATGATCGGCTTTCGGAATTTCCTACGAAAGAATTCCGGCCGCAAATAAACGATTCCCGTGGGTGGGGCTGGGAACACGTGTCTCCAGCCCCTCCCATGGCTAATAATTGGTTTTCCTGAATTTTTTTTATTCCTATAATTAGTACGTCAATCCTATGAGTTCCTATGATAGGTTTTGAAATTCCTACGAAAGAATTCCGGCCGCAAATAAACGATTCCCGTCTGAGGGGCTTGGAACACTTGTCTCCAGCCCCACCCATGGCTAATAATTGGATTCCCTGATTTTTTTTATTCCTATAATTAGTGCGTCATTCCTATGAGTTCCTATGATAGGTTTTGGAATTCCTACGAAAGTATTCCGGCCGCAAATAAACGATTCTCGTGGGTGGGGCTTTGAACACGTGTCTCCAGCCCCACCCATGGCTAATAATTGGCTTCCCTGCATTTTTTTTATTCCTATAATTAGTACGTCAATCCTATGAATTAATATGATAGGTTTTGGAATTCCTACGAAAGAATTCCGGCCGCAAATAAACGATTCCGTGGGTGGGGCTGGGAACACGTGTCTCCAGCCCATCCCTTGGCTAATAATTGGTTTTCCTGAATTTTTTGTATTCCTTTAATTAGTACGTCGTTCCTATGAATTCCTATGATACGTTTCGGAATAAATACGAAAGAATTGAGGCCGCATATACACGATTCTCGTGGGTTAAGCTGGGAACACGTGTCTCCAGCCCCACTTATGGCTAATAATTGGTTTCCCTGAATTTTTTTTATTCCTATAATTAATACGTCATTCCTATGAGTTCCTATGATAGGTTTTGAAATTCCTACGAAGAATTCCGGCCGCAAATAAACGATTCCCGTGGGTGGGGCTTGGAACACGTGTCTCCAGCCCCACCCATGGCTAATAATTGGTTTTCCTGAATTTTTTTTATTCCTATAATTAGTACGTCAATCCTATGAATTCCTATGATAGATTTCGGAATTAATATGAAAGAATTCTGGCTGCAATAAACGATTCCCGTGGGTGGGGCTTGGAACACGTGTCTCCAGCCCCACCCATGGCTAATAATTGGTTTTCCTGAATTTTTTTATTCCCATAATTAGTACGTGAATCCTATGAATTCCTATGATAGGCTTCGGAATTCCTACGAAAGAATTCTGGCCGCAAATAAACGATTCCCGTCTGAGGGGCTTGGGACACGTGTCTCCAGCCCCACCCATGGCTAATAATTGGATTCCCTGATTTTTTTTTATTCCTATAATTAGTGCGTCATTCCTATGAGTTCCTATGATAGGTTTTGGAATTCCTACGAAAGTATTCCGGCCGCAAATAAACGATTCTCGTGGGTGGGGCTTTGAACACGTGTCTCCAGCCCCACCTATGGCTAATAATTGGCTTCCCTGCATTTTTTTTATTCCTATAATTAGTACGTCAATCCTATGAATTGATATGATAGGTTTTGGAATTCCTACGAAAGAATTCCGGCCGCAAATAAACGATTCCGTGGGTGGGGCTGGGAACACGTGTCTCCAGCCCCTCCCATGGCTAATAATTGGATTCCCTGAATTTTTTTTATTCCTATAGTTAGTACGTCATTCTTATGAATTCCTATGATAGGTTTCGGAATTCCTACGAAAGAATTCCGGCCGCATATAAACGATTACCCGTGGGTGGGCTGGGAACACGTGTCTCCAGCCCCACCCATGGCTAATTATTGGTTTCCCTGAATTCTTTTTATTCCTATTATTAGTGCGTCGATCCTATGAGTTCCTATGATAGGTTTTGAAATTCCTACGAAAGAATTCCGGCCGCAAATAAACGATTCCCGTGGGTGGGGCTTGGAACAAGTGTATCCAGCCCCACCCATGGCTAATAATTGGTTTTCCTGAATTTTTTTTATTCCTATAATTAGTACGTCAATCCTATGAATTCCTATGATAGATTTCGGAATTAATATGAAAGAATTCTGGCTGCAAATAAACGATTCCCGTGGGTGGGGCTTGGAACACGTGTCTCCAGCCCCACCCATGGCTAATAATTGGTTTTCCTGAATTTTTTTTATTCCCATAATTAGTACGTCAATCCTATGAATTCCTATGATAGGCTTCGGAATTTCTACGAAAGAATTCCGGCCTCAAATAAACGATTCCCGTCTGAGGGGCTTGGAACACGTGTCTCCAGCCCCACCCATGGCTAATAATTGGATTCCCTGATTTTTTTTTATTCCTATAATTAGTGCGTCATTCCTATGATTTCCTATGATAGGTTTTGGAATTCCTACGAAAGTATTCCGGCCGCAAATAAACGATTCTCGTGGGTGGGGCTTTGAACACGTGTCTCCAGCCCCACCTATGGCTAATAATTGGATTCCCTGAATTTTTTTTATTCCTATAATTAGTACGTCATTCCTATGAATTCCTATGATAGGTTTTGGAATTCCTACGAAAGAATTCCGGCCGCAAATAAACGATTCTCGTGGGTGGGGCTGGGAACACGTGTCTCCAGCCCCACCTATGGCTTATAATTGGTTTTCCTGAATTTTTTTTATTCCCATAATTAGTACGTCAATCCTATGAATTCCTATGATAGGCTTCGGAATTCCTACGAAAGAATTCCGGCCGCAAATAAACGATTCCCATGGGTGGGGCTGGGAACACGTGTCTCCAGCACCTCCCATGGCTAATAATTGGTTTTCCTGAATTTTTTTTATTCCTATAATTAGTACGTCAATCCTATGAGTTCCTATGATAGGTTTTGAAATTCCTACGAAAGAATTCCGGCCGCAAATAAACGATTCCCGTCTGAGGGGCTTGGAACACTTGTCTCCAGCCCCACCCATGGCTAATAATTGGATTCCCTGATTTTTTTTTATTCCTATAATTAGTGCGTCATTCCTATGAGTTCCTATGATAGGTTTCGGAATTCCTACGAAAGAATTCCGGCCGCAAATAAACGATTCCCGTGGGTGGGGCTGGGAACACGTGTCTCCAGCCCATCCCATGGCTAATAATTGGTTTTCCTGAATTTTTTGTATTCCTTTAATTAGTACGTCGTTCCTATGAATTCCTATGATACGTTTCGGAATAAATACGAAAGAATTGAGGCCGCATATACACGATTCTCGTGGGTTAAGCTGGGAACACGCGTCTCCAGCCCCACTTATGGCTAATAATTGGTTTTCCTGAATTTTTTTATTCCCATAATTAGTACGTCAATCCTATGAATTCCTATGATAGGCTTCGGAATTCCTACGAAAGAATTCCGGCCGCAAATAAACGATTCCCGTCTGAGGGGCTTGGAACACGTGTCTCCAGCCCCACCCATGGCTAATAATTGGATTCCCTGATTTTTTTTTATTCCTATAATTAGTGCGTCATTCCTATGAGTTCCTATGATAGGTTTTGGAATTCCTACGAAAGTATTCCGGCCGCAAATAAACGATTCTCGTGGGTGGGGCTTTGAACACGTGTCTCCAGCCCCACCCATGGCTAATAATTGGATTCCCTGCATTTTTTTTATTCCTATAATTAGTACGTCAATCCTATGAATTAATATGATAGGTTTTGGAATTCCTACGAAAGAATTCCGGCCGCAAATAAACGATTCTCGTGGGTGGGGCTGGGAACACGTGTCTCCAGCCCCACCCATGGCTTATAATTGGTTTTCCTGAATTTTTGTTATTCCTTTAATTAGTACGTCATTCCTATGAATTTCTATGATAGGCTTCGGAATTCCTACGAAAGAATTCCGGCCGCAAATAAACGATTCCCGTCTGAGGGGCTTGGAACACGTGTCTCCAGCCCCACCCATGGCTAATAATTGGATTCCCTGATTTTTTTTTATTCCTATAATTAGTGCGTCATTCCTATGAATTCCTATGATACGTTTCGGAATTCCTACGTAAGAATTCCGGCTGCAAATAAACGATTCCCGTGGGAGGGGCTTGGAACACGTGTCTCCAGCCCCACCCATGGCTAATAATTGGATTCCCTGAATTTTTTTTATTCCTATAGTTAGTACGTCATTCTTATGAATTCCTATGATAGGTTTCGGAATTCCTACGAAAGAATTCCGGCCGCAAATAAACGATTACCCGTGGGTGGGGCTGGGAACACGTGTCTCCAGCCCCACCCATGGCTAATAATTGGTTTTCCTGAATTTTTTTTATTCCTATAATTAGTACGTCAATCCTATGAATTCCTATGATAGGTTTCGGAATTAATACGAAAGAATTCCGGCCGCAAATAAACGATTCTCGTGGGTGGGGCTTGGAACACGTGTCTCCAGCCCCACCCATGGCTAATTATTGGTTTTCCTGAATTTTTTTTATTCCCATAATTAGTACGTCAATCCTATGAATTTCTATGATAGGCATCGGAATTCCTACGAAAGAATTCCGGCCGCAAATAAACGATTCCCGTCTGAGGGGCTTGGAACACGTGTCTCCAGCCCCACCCATGGCTAATAATTGGATTCCCTGATTTTTTTTTATTCCTATAATTAGTGCGTCATTCCTATGAGTTCCTATGATAGGTTTCGGAATTAATACGAAAGAATTCCGGCCGCAAATAAACGATTCTCGTGGGTGGGGCTGGGAACACGTGTCTCCAGCCCCACCTATGGCTAATAATTGGTTTCCCTGAATTCTTTTTATTCCTATAATTAGTGCGTCAATCCTATGAGTTCCTATGATAGGTTTTGGAATTCCTACGAAAGAATTCCGGCCGCAAATAAACGATTCTCGTGGGTGGGGCTGGGAACACGTGTCTCCAGCCCCACCTATGGCTTATAATTGGTTTTCCTGAATTTTTTTTATTCCCATAATTAGTACGTCAATCCTATGAATTCCTATGATAGGCTTCGGAATTCCTACGAAAGAATTCCGGCCGCAAATAAACGATTCCCATGGGTGGGGCTGGGAACACGTGTCTCCAGCACCTCCCATGGCTAATAATTGGTTTTCCTGAATTTTTTTTATTCCTATAATTAGTACGTCAATCCTATGAGTTCCTATGATAGGTTTTGAAATTCCTACGAAAGAATTCCGGCCGCAAATAAACGATTCCCGTCTGAGGGGCTTGGAACACTTGTCTCCAGCCCCACCCATGGCTAATAATTGGATTCCCTGATTTTTTTTTATTCCTATAATTAGTGCGTCATTCCTATGAGTTCCTATGATAGGTTTCGGAATTCCTACGAAAGAATTCCGGCCGCAAATAAACGATTCCCGTGGGTGGGGCTGGGAACACGTGTCTCCAGCCCATCCCATGGCTAATAATTGGTTTTCCTGAATTTTTTGTATTCCTTTAATTAGTACGTCGTTCCTATGAATTCCTATGATACGTTTCGGAATAAATACGAAAGAATTGAGGCCGCATATACACGATTCTCGTGGGTTAAGCTGGGAACACGCGTCTCCAGCCCCACTTATGGCTAATAATTGGTTTTCCTGAATTTTTTTTATTCCCATAATTAGTACGTCAATCCTATGAATTCCTATGATAGGCTTCGGAATTCCTACGAAAGAATTCCGGCCGCAAATAAACGATTCCCGTCTGAGGGGCTTGGAACACGTGTCTCCAGCCCCACCCATGGCTAATAATTGGATTCCCTGATTTTTTTTTATTCCTATAATTAGTGCGTCATTCCTATGAGTTCCTATGATAGGTTTTGGAATTCCTACGAAAGTATTCCGGCCGCAAATAAACGATTCTCGTGGGTGGGGCTTTGAACACGTGTCTCCAGCCCCACCCATGGCTAATAATTGGATTCCCTGCATTTTTTTTATTCCTATAATTAGTACGTCAATCCTATGAATTAATATGATAGGTTTTGGAATTCCTACGAAAGAATTCCGGCCGCAAATAAACGATTCTCGTGGGTGGGGCTGGGAACACGTGTCTCCAGCCCCACCCATGGCTTATAATTGGTTTTCCTGAATTTTTGTTATTCCTTTAATTAGTACGTCATTCCTATGAATTTCTATGATAGGCTTCGGAATTCCTACGAAAGAATTCCGGCCGCAAATAAACGATTCCCGTCTGAGGGGCTTGGAACACGTGTCTCCAGCCCCACCCATGGCTAATAATTGGATTCCCTGATTTTTTTTTATTCCTATAATTAGTGCGTCATTCCTATGAATTCCTATGATACGTTTCGGAATTCCTACGTAAGAATTCCGGCTGCAAATAAACGATTCCCGTGGGAGGGGCTTGGAACACGTGTCTCCAGCCCCACCCATGGCTAATAATTGGATTCCCTGAATTTTTTTTATTCCTATAGTTAGTACGTCATTCTTATGAATTCCTATGATAGGTTTCGGAATTCCTACGAAAGAATTCCGGCCGCAAATAAACGATTACCCGTGGGTGGGGCTGGGAACACGTGTCTCCAGCCCCACCCATGGCTAATAATTGGTTTTCCTGAATTTTTTTTATTCCTATAATTAGTACGTCAATCCTATGAATTCCTATGATAGGTTTCGGAATTAATACGAAAGAATTCCGGCCGCAAATAAACGATTCTCGTGGGTGGGGCTTGGAACACGTGTCTCCAGCCCCACCCATGGCTAATTATTGGTTTTCCTGAATTTTTTTTATTCCCATAATTAGTACGTCAATCCTATGAATTTCTATGATAGGCATCGGAATTCCTACGAAAGAATTCCGGCCGCAAATAAACGATTCCCGTCTGAGGGGCTTGGAACACGTGTCTCCAGCCCCACCCATGGCTTATAATTGGTTTTCCTGAATTTTTGTTATTCCTTTAATTAGTACGTCATTCCTATGAATTTCTATGATAGGCTTCGGAATTCCTACGAAAGAATTCCGGCCGCAAATAAACGATTCCCGTCTGAGGGGCTTGGAACACGTGTCTCCAGCCCCACCCATGGCTAATAATTGGATTCCCTGATTTTTTTTTATTCCTATAATTAGTGCGTCATTCCTATGAATTCCTATGATACGTTTCGGAATTCCTACGTAAGAATTCCGGCTGCAAATAAACGATTCCCGTGGGAGGGGCTTGGAACACGTGTCTCCAGCCCCACCCATGGCTAATAATTGGATTCCCTGAATTTTTTTTATTCCTATAGTTAGTACGTCATTCTTATGAATTCCTATGATAGGTTTCGGAATTCCTACGAAAGAATTCCGGCCGCAAATAAACGATTACCCGTGGGTGGGGCTGGGAACACGTGTCTCCAGCCCCACCCATGGCTAATAATTGGTTTTCCTGAATTTTTTTTATTCCTATAATTAGTACGTCAATCCTATGAATTCCTATGATAGGTTTCGGAATTAATACGAAAGAATTCCGGCCGCAAATAAACGATTCTCGTGGGTGGGGCTTGGAACACGTGTCTCCAGCCCCACCCATGGCTAATTATTGGTTTTCCTGAATTTTTTTTATTCCCATAATTAGTACGTCAATCCTATGAATTTCTATGATAGGCATCGGAATTCCTACGAAAGAATTCCGGCCGCAAATAAACGATTCCCGTCTGAGGGGCTTGGAACACGTGTCTCCAGCCCCACCCATGGCTAATAATTGGATTCCCTGATTTTTTTTTATTCCTATAATTAGTGCGTCATTCCTATGAGTTCCTATGATAGGTTTCGGAATTAATACGAAAGAATTCCGGCCGCAAATAAACGATTCTCGTGGGTGGGGCTGGGAACACGTGTCTCCAGCCCCACCTATGGCTAATAATTGGTTTCCCTGAATTCTTTTTATTCCTATAATTAGTGCGTCAATCCTATGAGTTCCTATGATAGGTTTCGGAATTCCTACGAAAGAATTCCGGCCGCAAATAAACGATTCTCGTGGGTTAAGCTGGGAACACGTGTCTCCAGCTCCACCCATGGCTAATAATTGGATTCCCTGAATTTTTTTTATTCCTATAATTAGTACGACAATCATATGAGTTCCTATGATAGGTTTTGAAATTCCTACGAAAGAATTCCGGCCGCAAATAAACGATTCTCGTGGGTGGGGCTGGGAACACGTGTCTCCAGCCCCACCTATGGCTTATAATTGGTTTTCCTGAATTTTTTTTATTCCCATAATTAGTACGTCAATCCTATGAATTCCTATGATAGGCTTCGGAATTCCTACGAAAGAATTCCGGCCGCAAATAAACGATTCCCGTCTGAGGGGCTTGGAACACGTGTCTCCAGCCCCACCCATGGCTAATAATTGGATTCCCTGAATTTTTTTTATTCCTATAATTAGTGCGTCATTCCTATGAGTTCCTATGATAGGTTTCGGAATTCCTACGAAAGAATTCTGGCTGCAAATAAACGATTCTCGTGGGTGGGGCTGGGAGCACGTGTCTCCAGCCCCACCCATGGCTAATATTTGGTTTTCCTGAATTTTTTTTATTCCTTTAATTAGTACGTCATTCCTATGAATTCCTATGATACGTTTCGGAATTAATACGAAAGATTTGAGGCGGCAAATAAACGATTCCCGTGGGTGGGGCTGGGAACACGTGTCTCCAGCCCCACCCATGGCTAATAATTGGTTTTCCTGAATTTTTTTTATTCCTATAATTAGTACGTCAATCCTATGAATTCCTAAGATAGATTTTGTGACAAAATTTAAATTATTCAAAAAGAAAAAAAAAATTGGCGAGTAGTTTTGTTTTGTCAATTTTTAGATCGATACGCGGCTTTTTTGAGAGCAGAAATTTGATCTAGAGATGTCACTGCGTTGAACCTTGAGGACCTCCGACTCCGGAAGTACGTTTTAGAAGAACTTAAACCAAATCGTTTGGGAACGTAAAAGTACAATATTATCTTATGTGAACGTCATCTACAACTACTAATAAATAATTTATTGAACTTTAAAAACTATTACATATTTACATACGTTTATTCGAATTTGGTAATTACGCGCTATCAGCATCGTACAACATTTTATGCCAGTAGTTTTCCTAGAAGTAGTTTCCTATTCATATAATCACATCGATAATAAATCTATTTAAGAGTGTTAAACATGAATACATGATCAATTGCTTATATAGGTAATTGATGAAGTTTACATTTTTATCATCGAAGTTAATGATACATAGGTCTCGAAAATTATTAAAATTAAATGTATTTTGTTATAATACTATAATATGACATGTCTTGAAATCTACTAACGCTGGACAATAGCCAATATTAATAGACAAATAGTAAATTAGTAAATGACAGATATATATTATGATATAAGGTATATACTCTATTCAGAACTATTGTGGTCGTCTGTTTGTAGATGAGATTAATCCCACATACGAGAACGATGAATGGTGTAATCTTAAGTTTATCGATAGAGAATTTTATGGAGATTCTATTTAAATAGTCGGTGTAACAAATCGTCCAGTAGTTTATATAACTTTCAAAAGCTTTCAAAAGAAAAAAAAAACATACAAAAAATCATAATCTAATAGATTGTAAACTATGATAACGAATTATTAATTAGTGTATCACGGTTCAGGTGTTAGAAGGTTAACACTTAATTGAAGTTATGTTCAATTCATATGTAAATAGTAATTATATTTTTATATTTTTATTTTATTTATTTAAGTTATTGATAAAAATGTTTACTTTTTAAGTAGGTTTTGTGTAATTAAACAAAATGTTCACTATCGTGTACGGTGTGCAGTATACAAATTACAAATTTAAACAGTTCACCTTAACCCTTTCACTACCGCATTATGTTATAATTTAAAAAACATTTTTTCTTTCACTTATACTATAAATACACTTCTTAGATAGCGAGTACCAAGTTTTGTGAGGATAGGATAACTTGGTAAAAAGTTATAAGGTTGTACCTTGCAAGGTACACTGGTAGTCATTATAATAAAAATTCATATTTACAAATATCCTTTTTGTTGAAAGGAGGTTATAATATGGATCGACAAAAGATAAAATATACAACACAATTTAGTTATAGTAAGAATACGTAATATTTCACTAAAACTAAAACACATAACTAAGTATGAAAAGTAATTTGACTTCTAACAATGTAAGTACTATGTTTACGAGATATACATGACATACACATAAGTAATACCTAAAATGCAGTGCCTACAGTACACAACTAAACAATCTTATATACTAATGATCTACTGACCCCTGGCTCACGCCACTTTACAAGCTTGCTTATTGGCTAATACAATATCACGCCATATGTGGTGTGATTTATCAGATTCTAATAACAGCTATATTTTGTTATACACAATATGATTATACTACTAATACAATATTAAATTATATTCAACACACCCCCGTAATTAATATTTTATATAAACAAGAAAAATTAAAGTAATTTCAACACTGATAATTTTTGCCTTAATTTTTCAAACCTATCCTTCGGAAGTGGCTTAGTAAATATGTCTGCATATTGTTCTTCTGTTTCAACGTACTGTAATCGAAATAATTTTTCTTCAAACTTTTCCCTGATGAAATGATACCTGACGTCGATGTGTTTAGTTCTCTTGTGAAACTCTGGATTTTTCACAAGTCGAATTGCACTCTGATTGTCCACATACAATGTCGGTTGTCCACCCGTTGTACTGGTGCAGATTTCTTTCACCAATCTGTCAATCCAAATCAATCCTTTGATTGTTTCACACGCCGAGATATATTCTGCTTCAGTTGAACTTAGTGTTACTATGGGTTGCCTTTGCGCTTGCCATGATACCGTAGATACTCCTAGCATGAACACATGACCAGAAGTTGAACGTCTTGTCTCTGAATCTCCTGCATAATCTGAGTCTGAAAATACGCTTAAACACAAATTTACGTTAGATTTGTAACATAAACCAAATGTTGTTGTTCCTTTTACATAACGAATTATTCGCTTTACCATGGTCCAATGTACCGACGTTGGATTATTTAAAAACCTACTAACATAGTTAACAGCGAATGC